AACTTAGTTACAGGAGGAAAGCTGCGTCTGTACGATCACAACTAGGAAGAATTGACTACTGTAACACCACGACACCGAAGTCCGGAAGCAGTCTTTCTATGCAATTATATTGGAAAGGCAACGAAGACAGATATTTTCAACGTTTTGAGAATCCAGGACTATCACCGGAACTTTTACGGGGCACTTTATTGATACATCGATATTGGCTGATTGCCATGATCTAAGATTGGTGTTTGTACAAATGGTTCTGCAATGTCTCGTTTGACCAGTTTCTCTGACTACAGGGTGATCATAACACTGGCGTTTTTGTACCAGCTCAACAGTGGGTTCTCTCCATTCTTCGTCTGCGTCTCTTCAATATCCGCTCGCCCCGCCATGAAGTCCTCGTGCGAGTATGTACGAGCAAATCGTCCGGTTATAGCTGTATACATTGGTTCTACAACGTCGAAGTCGGTCGGAAAGAGAATGTCAAAATAGCCTTGGTGGACCTATCGCGACGGATTAGTACTGCTCGGAAGACTGGGATGATGGGAAAAGGGACTCACCAGAGGTGTGGTCACGGCAATCATTTGCCTCTTGTATCTCGTCTGCACTACTGGCGCATTCAAGCCTTCGACTGTGTCACTCAACGTGTTGAAATCGCTGCTGATTAATTTATGATTCGGGAACTTCTCATACAGGATGTAGAAGAACTGCATCAGCCTCGTGGGTATGTATTCCGGCTCGCTAAGAGTGCCTTTAAAAGGCAGCAATGAGCGCAGATTTGTCATGAGATTATTGCTCTGAAGTGAATGTGCGTAAGGTTTACACGCAACGTCCCGTCTGTCGAGGAACTGCGCGGCCACAGGGTCAATGGTGCGCGAGTAGTATTCGAAGAGTTCGCCGCGCGGGTCTATAACGACGTGTGATTGATAGGGATGGCCAGTTTCGTGGTCGTACTTTAAAGCGTCGTGACCGAAGTTGTCGAAGACTTCGAGTGCGAGGAAGTAACAGGGCGATGAGACGTAAGTGTCCCATTCGAATATCGAGCGGTTGATAATGTCGACCTTGTCGGCATGGCCTCGTGCATATGCTGAATGTCCTAAGCCCTGCTGTTGTAATCTAGCCAGTGCGCTCGAGATCTCAACGATCTTGAACTTGGTCCGTTCGTATACCTCCGGATGAATGTCTCGTATGTAGTCCAAAATATTCAACATCATGGTCCCGTTTCCAGCGCCCATTTCGTAGATATTCAGGTCGTGGTACGGGTAGAAGTTGTACTTGTAATCCTCCACAAGATATCTCGCAAGCGCTTCCCCATAGTAGGGCGAGAACAGTTCGGTAGGGGTATGCCAGAGTTGGCGAAGGTCGTTTGGTTCCTGATAGTCTAGCGTGTCTTCAAAGTCGGTATACCGATGTCGTAACTGCTGGAAGAATTCATGCTCCGAGGCCATGGCGTTGAAATCGAAGGGTTTGCCAGGAGAGAAGATGACGACCTGCTTAGAGAAATAGCCATAGTTTGGATTATACAGACTATCTGATGCTATGTTAGCTCCTCTAGGCTACCGCAGCTGCCAGTCGGCCTCGATATACCTTCGATGAAGTCGCGGAGCAGCATCTTCACCCGCCTCGGCCGCTCTCTACGGTTCTTCAACATATCCGACGTAACCATGGGATATCGATCAAACTCGTCCGCCCGTTCCTGGGGAAATCTCATTTGCCTAGGAGTCCATCGACTTTCTCTTGTGGTCTCTCCTGCGCCTAGCCGCGTGGCCTTTCCCCGTCGCTGGATGCGCGCATAGCGGGCACTCGGTGGGGCTCCACGGGCAAGACATTGGGAAGCTCGATGTGAAAAGAGCTGGCGAAACAATTGCGTGACGAGGGGTGAGTCCATTGGAGGCTGGCAGCTCAGGTTCCGCCCGAACGCGGCGTAGAGAGTAGTCCTCAGACGGCACGTGGTGGAGATGCGGCCCCATCATTTGCGCCAAGCATTCTACGGTATCTAGCAGGTGTCAAAGCTCCTCCGCGGTCACGTTTCCCGAGATCTCCCCGGGGCCGTCTCAGTACCTCCTTCCTCTCAACTTTCGAACTCCAAGGGATGTCGAATCATTCCCAGCTCTATACCTTGGGGGCATTCTTATTAGGTATCGGTTTGACCGTCGCATATCAACAGCAGCTTTTCCGTCCAGGGTACGACCGCCGAAGCCGGAGGCGAAAGATCCACCAAGATATATCTCGACTTTCAAAAACTGATGATATTGAGAGCCTGAAGAAAAACCTCACGGACATTGTAGAATCTTTAGAGCGAGAGGCTGGGTCTATTAAAGAGGGCATTGAAGGATGTATCGGTAACACTCCATTGATCAAGATCAAATCACTTTCAGATGCTACAGGATGCGAAATATTGGCGAAAGCAGAGGTAATCATGTAGCACGCCATACGGGATAGGAAAAAAATGGCTGACAGACAATTGAACTAGTTTCTGAACGGCGCTGGTAATAGCCCGAAAGACAGAGTGGCTTTAGGCATTATCCAATTGGTAACTTGCGAATAGTTTTCTTTGTGCCACGATTATGCTGAGTGACATCCAAGGCTGAAGAACGCGGTTTGCTGGTCCCACACTCTGGAGATACTGTGTATGAGGGCACTGTTGGAAGCACCGGTATCTCGCTGGCGGCAATATGTCGAGCGCGAGGCTACAAAGCCCATATGTGTGTCTCGCACTTTCTGGTTCGTGTAGCTTAGCTGAACAGTCTTTTAGTTGCATGCCTGACGATATGGCGATCGAAAAATCGGATCTCCTTCAGAAGCTCGGCGCAGAAGTGGAGAGAGTACGGCCAGCGCCAATCGTGGACCAAAACCAATTCGTCAATCTAGCACGTACCAGGGCCACCGAGCATACGAAAAACCCAGACAAACCGGGCAGAGGGCTTTTCGCAGACCAGTTCGAAACAGAAGCCAACTGGCTTGCGCACTTTGCCGGCACGGGGCCTGAGATCTATGAGCAAACCGGCGGATCCCTTAACGCGTTTGTAAGTGGTGCTGGCACAGGTGGTACTATTTCCGGGGTCGCTCTATATCTAAAGCCAAAGCTCCCCGACATCAAGATTGTCCTTGCAGATCCACCGGGAAGCGGCTTGTTCAACCGCGTCAAGTATGGTGTCATGTTCGATCCTAAAGAACGTGAGGGAACACGCCGGAGACATCAAGTTGACACCATCATCGAAGGTATTGGAATTAATCGTGTGACACACAACTTCGAGGTTGGAAGAGAGCTTGTAGATGACGCGATCAGGGTGACTGATGATCAGGCGCTTGCTATGGCAAAGTGGTTAGTGGAGCATGATGGCATCTTCGTCGGCAGCAGCAGTGCTGTAAACTGTAAGTGTGACATCGAATTTGCGGATAGAGCACTGACACTTCGCAGGCGTAGCAGCAACGAAACTCGCAAAGCAACTTGGCCCCGGTCATCGCATCGTGACTTTGCTGTGTGATAGGTAAGCTGCCCGCACAGATCATTCACTCATAATTTAATTTGAGCATAGCGGAGCGCGACATCTTAGCAAGTTCTGGGCCAGCACAGAACCAGTTGGGGGCAGCGAAGACGACGTGTCCCTGGAAGAGATCATCAATTCGTGAATACACGCAACTACACTTCTAACACGGTGTCAGTGACATAAGGTTCGTTGACAGTGCTGCTTTGTTGAAGCCTCCAATCTAGCCTCTCTTCTCGCTAACAAAGGAGCTCAAGGTCGCCGTCCACGATCAGGAGCAGCGTCACAGTCGGGGATGGTAAATGTTCCAACAAATAGACGCAGTCCCCAGGCATTTGTCTACGACATCAATCCCGATCCACGAACATTCCGAGGCGCGTACAATCTTTCGACTCTTATCTCCACAAGGACATTGTGCAGGAACCCCCACGAGACAGCCAGAAGACGAGTGAGACATAAGTCGGACAAAGAGTACGTCACGAAATTCAATACTGCTATGCACTTTTCAGGGCGGCAACAAAGAACAAATCATCTTCAACAATACCCATTCTTCTACTATACCTTTGTCTGTTTGTGTTCCAATTATATATACCAGCTCACTCACATAATACTGCGAGTTCGCTGCACACTCCCGCGTCTAGCACAAATCAACCGTATCCGTTTCTTAATCATCAGATACTTCTACGCAAACACCGCCGATCCGTCGTCGATTCATTGCAACTGGGCCAACGCTGCATTACATACCCCAGAACCACGCATCCACTCCAAGCAAACCCCGACTCTGCGACAGGAGGGTTAGCAACATGGCACCTTCAACCCGCACCCCAGAACTAGCCGAAAAGATCTCTCAGATGCGTCTCACCATCGCGCCCATCGTGCACGTAGAGTCTGGTCTCGCCCCACCACAGTTCCCTACCACCATGCTTGAACTGTTTCTCCTCACAGAAGACGAGCTCGACGCCATGGCGCGCTACTACTCGCAAATGACACCCGACCTGCACACACACCACTACCCACAGACCATGGACTGGGACCGCCCGTTTCTCGCGCGGTCACGGCCAGGACACACCTTGCCAGAGAACTGCAAGCTGAACGATTTGGAGAGGTTGAAAGTGAAGATGAGGATGTTCGCGAGGTTTATCGGCATGCGGGGCGCAGACACTCCAAAGTGGGAGTACGAGAGGCAGCTCGACATACTAAAGGCGAAGATCGACAGGAGCATCGAGGAGGAGGAGAGGGCGACGACGAGGAGCAAGTGGTACAAGGGCCCGCCTACGAGGCCTTGATGCAGGTGGACTTGTCGGGCAGGAGCATGTTTTCCAGTAGTTCACCTTACACACAGCATATTACATACAGTACAGTGTGCAGCACAGCATTATCTAAGCAGAAGCGCAATTCAAGCCGTTTGTTGATTTTAGCCACCCCCGCGTGTCGACGTGAAGCAGTGTTAGTTACTACACATACAGGGTCAAAAAGAATGCAACCCGCGCGTGACCACAACCACCACAAATGGCAAAAAGAAAGAGTTAGTCCTGGTGGGGTTCGAACCCACGGCATCCGCATAACCAGATGAAGGCCATAAGAGTTCTGACGAGTCTTATAAGAACGGCGCGCTACCACTGCGCCACAGGACTTGTCGATGCTCCACAAGTGGAATTTATCAGTTATTCCCCGTTACAGAATATATAGCCTCCCACTGCGGCGAAAACCTAAGCGACAGTGTGAGTCACCGTAGAAAGAATATTCACACGAATTACCCTGCCACCCACACGTCGCTGGTAGCGCACAGTCAGCCTGCGGTACAACCCCGCTTTAGTAAGTAGCGGGCGCGCGGGGTTCACTAACATCCGACCACACCCCATCTGGCCCTATCACCCACCATTCACCTTCATCATCGTTCCTCATCTCTACATCTGTCACCTTCGTCCAACGCTGCGCACCGTGTCACTAGTTTCCACCAGCCAAACAGTAAGTATCTCTTCCTATAATTTAACCGCGCCATTCGACCTCCCCTTGTTCTGCATCCTCTAGTCCAGTCTCTCATCCAGTCTTCTGTCTCCTTTCTCAGCAGTCGCTCGAAATGAATTACCTTGCTGCGGCTTAAAAGAGTACGGTTGCTAACCAATATGTACAGTTGTCTAACCTGCTCCTCCTAAGGCCATCTTCCCTTACCACGCCCTCGTCCTACTAACTGCGGCACTCAGTATGACTATCCGAGCAGTAAAATTCACGCCCGAGGTCCTGCTCAGCGCTCCCCGTCGCTCCTCGGGCAACCCTAACTCCGATGGCTCCAAGGTGCTCTATAGCAGCTCGACCTATTCCTTCGCGGAGCACGCCAAGAAGACTGAGATTCGCGTTCTCCATGTGCAGTCCCAGCAGACGACTCTAATCAGCGACGATCCTGTTGCGAGTGAGCCGAAATGGCTGGGCGATGACGCCATTCTGCTCTTGTCCAGCGGCGATGATGGTGTGACAAGTGTCAAGGTCGGCAAGGTGGAGAACTTCGGCGATATGTAAGCATCGTTACACTGCACAACTGTAGCTTTGTTCGACTTGCAGCTCCCTTGCCAGTGATCGATCCTGGATTGCTAGGCTTAGTTTTCCCTCAAGCCGGTCACCCATCTTATATCCAGCAATATTCACTAAACTTTAGCAAGGACGCTCGTCTGAAGCTTCTGCGATCACTCATATATGTTCTATGCTGCCAATTAGATGACCTATATCTCCTAGAAGCGAAATTTTGCAAGTCTATACCGTGTATCTCAAATCATATCAAGCGAGGCGCAGATTCAGTATATGTGTACAAGCTAATCTTTATGACAGTAGTTACACAGTTGGGACCATTGACGGCCCCGTTGGGAACCTCAAGCTCCACGCACTCGGCACAGACGAGTTCGCCATCGCCGTGACAGGCAAGACGACTCCTGATGGAGAGCTCTTCAATCCTGAAAAGGCGAAGAAGCCCCTCACTTCCGGAAAGCTCTACAAATCTCTTTTCGTCCGCCACTGGGACCACTACGTCACTGAGAACCGCAATGCGATCTGGCTTGGAAAACTCTCCAAGAAGGATGGTAAATTCGAACTCTCTGAGATGCGTAACGCTCTCAAGGGTACCAGACTGGAGTCTCCCGTTGAACCATTCGGCGGCACAGATCACTTCGACATCGCAAGTACCGGACTTGTTTTTACGGCAAAGGATCCAGAGCTGAACCCCGCCTTACATACCAAGACCAATATCTACTTAGTGACCAGCTCATCATTCTGGGATGGCAAGCCAAAGACCCTTCCTTCACCTCAGCAAGTACAGGTTTCTGGCTTTGAAGGTGCCAGTACTAGCCCTACCTTCTCCCCGGGTGGGACACAAATCGCCTTTCTGTCTATGAAAACCGACGGTTACGAGTCTGACAAGAACCAACTTTTCATCATCCCAGACTACCGAACACCGTCATGGGTAGTGCACGCATTTACCTCAAAGGATGGCAAGGGAAGCTGGGACCGCAGCCCTCAAGGAATTTTTTGGAGCCCCGACAAATCGCATCTCTACTTAGCTGCAGAGGAGCACGGTCGAGTCTGTCTGTTTTCTACAGATATCTCGAATGCCGCCAATGCTACGTTTCCTCGAATGATCGTCAAAGGGGGTACTATAACCGATGCCCAATCACTAAAGAATGGGGACATCTTTCTCTCTTCCAACAGTCTGATCGAGAACAGCTTGTACTCTGTACTACCTCTGGCGAGCCGCAAGGACCAACACATCTATACCCTCCCCATCGACGATAGACCCTACGACGCGATACCATCTAAACCGACTACCAAATACGTCTCCTCCCAAACCCGAAGCGGCTCCATGTTCGGCCTCTCACGTAAACAAGTCATTGAAGTTCAATGGCCAGGCGCCGGAAAAAACACATCAGTCCACGCCTGGGTCATCAAGCCCAGCAAATTCAACGAAAACGAGACGTACCCACTCGCCTACCTCATTCACGGCGGCCCCCAAGGCGCATGGGAAGACTCGTGGTCCACGCGTTGGAACCCCGCCGTCTATGCAGAGCAAGGCTACGTAGTCGTCGCCCCCAACCCCACCGGCAGCACCGGCTACGGGCAAGACTTCGTCGACGCCATCCAAGGCCAATGGGGCGGCCTCCCATATAAAGACCTCGTCAAAGGCTTCGAGTACATCGCATCGAACCTGCACTACGTCGACACGGACCGCGCCGTCGCGCTCGGCGCCTCGTACGGCGGCTACATGATCAACTGGATCCAGGGCCACGAGCTGGGCCGCAAGTTCAAAGCGCTCGTGTGCCACGACGGTGTCTGCAGCATGAGCGGCCAGCTCGCATCCGAGGAGCTGTATTTCCCCTTCCACGACCTCACCGGCCCGCTCTGGGACAACGCCGACGCCTGGGCGCAGTGGGATCCCTCGAGGTTCACGCAGAACTGGAAGACGCCGCAGCTCGTGATTCACAGCGAGCTGGACTATCGGCTCACGATCAGCGAGGGGCTTGCTGCGTTCCATACGCTGCAGGCGCGCGGTGTCGAAAGCCAGTTCTTGACGTTCCCGGATGAGAATCATTGGGTGCTGAAGCCCGAGAATAGTTTGCTATGGCATGAGACGGTGCTGGATTGGATTAATGAGCATGTGGGCCTGGAGAAGTATACTGAGGCGCGGGAAAAAGTAAATGAAGATGCCGTTGACACGGAGAACTAGGGCCTGGTAAGCATAGCTTAGACAGCGTTATAGTGGATGATGAATTAATCGATAACAAATTTGTCGTTCATCAATGATCTCGCACAACTTAGGCTACTCATTTGAGGAAGGTGAGATGTAAATTTTCTCCACTGTGATAATAGTGATGATGTTGAATGGACTCTATAGCTAGCTGATAATAGGATCAACACGTTATAGGTAAGGAGTAGAGGCTTGTACAGTGTATACAGCGTACAGAGAAAAAAGGTTAATACAATAGTATTCTTAGTATTGTATGCTTTCTATCTACGTGCAGATAGGACGGAAGACTCTGCAGCTGCGCACAGGCATTACGTAAAGCAAGCTTACATAACCCGAAGCTGTACAGAGTCTCAACCGCACTGGGTACGGACAGATGAGCGTCTAATATCTCGCAGCCGTGGTGCTATAGGATCGACGTGAAGAAAGGGTATATTGAGATATCCAGCTAAGTCAATCAAATTCGAACTTCAAACGAATGCCAAAGTCCATCGTACCTCAGCGGTTTCGCTGTCGAGAAAGATCAACCATCGTACATAAAAAAACACCCCAATCTCGACTTGGGACTCTCCGTAGAAAGACTGAACTCCACACTTAGTCTTCTCAATCATCCGACCCGTCCTCCGGTAATCCCGCAATAACTTCCTCACAAAGCGCAATCAACTCATCCACATCTGGCCGCTCACTCGGCTCGACCATCAAACACTTCCGCACAACCCCCTTGACCGTATCGCTAATCGCCTCCTCAGCGGGCTGTTTCTGCTTGCCCCTCTGCGGCCCTTCGTCCGGAAACCTCCAGTCACCGCCGAGCACGCAGATACTCAAACTGCCACCGGTCTCGTCGCTTCGAGCTTCGAACGGGCTTTTGCCAACGAGGCATGCGTAGAGGGTGCAGCCGAGCGACCAGACGTCGACTTTGGTGTCGATTACGGAGCCGGTTTTCACGTCGAAGAGTTCGGGGGCGCGGTAGGGCATCGTGGAGTGTTCGGCGGCGGTGTCTTGTACTTGGAGGGCGAGCGAACGCGAGGTTATGGGGGTAGGAGACGGCGCGAGAGAGCCGAGGTCCATGAGGATGGGGGATTTGCCGTCGTCGTCTATCATGATGTTGCCTGCCGTGGCATTTAGTAGGTATAGCAGAGTGAGATCCAGGGGAATCGGAGCATACCAGGCTTGATATCGCGATGCGCATACGCCCTCGCACCCCCCGGCGCAATCCCCTCCTGTGCCATGGTAACCTCAGCCTCCATGAGCGGTTCCGCCTCCTGCTCCTCATCGTCATCGTCTTCCCGATGCCGTCTGCTAGCCCGCATCTCCATTCCCTCCGCAGCCTCTGCAGCGTCCGCATCTGCTCTCGCAGCCTCCTTCCTCACTTTCTTCGCCTTCTGCTGGCTCCTCTCTCCTCCGGGACCGCCTTTGACTTTGTACTGGTGCATAGCCTTCAACGCTCTGCACACGCCCAGGAACAGCACCATGAGCCTCTTTTCCGGAAACTTTGTATGATTCACCAAGTTCGCATTGATCATGTCTTGTAGATTGCCACGTCTATAGTATGGCAAAAGTATGTACACGGTTTTGGCTTGCGGGTCGGATCGGTCGGATTCGACAGAGTAGTCGATGGAATGGATGATGTTGGGGTGTGGAGAGAAGAGCGTGTAGGCTTCGACTTCTTTGAGGGCTAGCGAGACGGACTCTTGGCCGAAGGGACAGCGGATCTTTTTCAGGGCGAAGAGTTGCTGGTTGGAGTTGTCTTGCACGAGGTAGACATAGGAGAAGCCGCCCTATTCAACCATTGGGTTAGCTCAAAGGTCTGGCTGGAAGTTGGATGGAGTGCTATCAGGGCACCATCATCTCACATACCTCGCCCAGCAGCCGCAGTATCTTGAAGCTCCGGCTGTTGATTTTGAGCTG